CTTCAGGTACTAGTGGAAGAATGCATTTATAAACTCACTCAAATGAGTTAAAGTTAGAAACACTGTATTTAAGTGTTTGATTTTAATCATTTGCCACTTAAAACATTGGTTTATTGCTTGCTTGTATTCCCACATGGGGTAGGGCAGTCTAAAGGTTTTTAAATTGAATTTTCTGATCTAGGACATTGATATTAGTTTATATTTCTTGTTGGTACAGTATGAACTTATGCCCTTTTAGATACATGGAATTGGATATTGATTCTAGTAAGATTCCAGAATTTGAAAGCCTTCCATTTTAAAGGATTGATACTTTATAGTCTCTTTGTAACCATGAAAGTTTTTATTAACATTTATCAAAAATAGCAATAATTTTCATTTAATGTATTATTCCTATAGTAAAAAGCAATATGCCATGGAAATATCTGGCAAGGGCATAGGGCTTTATTCTGATGATTGGCATTCTGTGATTCAGTTGCTGTAATGACAGGTAAGGTATTATGTAGAATATTCATAGGTAAAAAGTAATGACAGGTTATTTTATTATTTGAATAGCTGATAGGTGGGTGTTGGACTCCATCCACTTTGCACTTTTATTTAGTGTATAGCTGGCTTTCTGCCTTGGAATTAAAGACAAAGCCAGGTGCAAAATAGTTTCATGACTAGAATAACATCAGCGTCAAAATTGGGACAGTGCTTTATTCGCTTTCCCCTTCCATTTTATGCTTCTTGAGTCCTGGGACTAATGGCATTTGTTTTGGCGAGATTTCGGTTTTAAGGCATATTTGATAATATTTTAACTAAAAGTTTAGAATACACTGATATGAGATGTATATATTTCAACTACATTAAAAAAAACTCTTGTGTTTAAAAAGTAGTAAAGTAGATGCAAGAAGATTGTGACAGAGGGCAGATTCTTTGGCTCTGATGGAAAGATCTTCAGGCTTCTCCTCCACTCCCCCTATCCCTCTTGGTCTATTTAGTGGTCGAATTTCTAATCTGAGCCTCTCATTTTATAGAAAAGGAAGCAGGAGGTGAAAATAACTATTATTCACCCAATATCATATGTGAACCTTATTTCCTGCTAATTATTTTCATGTATTATGTTCATAAAAATTACAGATTTTAAGATGAAATAAACTAAAACATTTCGAGTTTGGAATGAGATTCTAGCTTTTTATTTCTGTCACTGTTTTGACATCTAGTTATTAAGTTATATCTACAATTTGCTGAACCATGTGTAATAATACTAACAAAAACTGAAGAAATACTCATAAACATAGTAAGAAAACCTTGATAATATACAAAATTTTTCAAAAATTAAGAAAATAGTTTATATGTAAGAACTGCCTTGCCATAGGGAAAAAAAATGAGCACCTTTTTAAAAAAATTTTTTTCTAGTAGTTACTTATGTTTTACTTTTTATACTCATTGTTTAATGACTATTATTATCATTATTATTTTGCTACCAGGGATTGAACTCGGAACTTTGAGCTTGCAGGGCAGGCGGTGGAACCACTGAGCTAAATCTGGTCCCTTGTTTTATTATTTTTTAATAGGTGTTCTGTGAACACCACCTTTTCTTTTTGGTTTTTTGGGAAGACTTTTTCTTTACTGGTAAAAATGTTAGACTAAGAAGTAATATTTTCTGTGGGCTGAATTAGTGTTAATTATGTTTTTATTTTTCAAATGGGGTAGGTAGATGCATGGTGCCTTTTCGTATTAAGTTCATATGTATTTTACACATACTACATATATGCATTTGTAGTTTGGATTGTTTGTGTCAATGTTTACCTTTTAGGGTCTCCATTTTAGACACTTTTAACCGAATTCTGTAGTTTTGGCTATAAAACAGAAATACATACTTTTGGCCAGGGATTTAGCTCAATGGTTCCACCGCCTGCCTCGTAAGTGCAAGGACCTGAGTTTGATCCCTGGTACCAAGAAAAAAGAAAGAAATACCTACTTTTCACACATTTAAGAGAGTTTTACAAAGTCAAAACTACAAAAGAGAGATATTGCGCTTTTAAATGCAAATATATGACAGCAGATAATGTTGGTTCTGCAATTTATGGACATTTTTAGGTCTGGGTGGTCCTGGATATCCTAGGGTATAAATAGGCACAGTTCTCTCCCCAGAACTTATAGGTAGGAGTAGAGAGTAATTATAAAGTGTGACAGTCATAGGAAGGAACGCTCCAGCAGTGGTGTGGCCAGAATGGGGCCTCTGGGACAGCACTGGAGGAGAGGGGAGCTGGCTACTTAGGGCCAGAGGGAAGCGTGCTCTCGCCGTGTCTCGCAGACCGGTGTGGTTTAGAAACTGGAGGGAGGTCCTGGCAGCCGAGCCTTCAGGGGTGTCAGGGCTGGGACACACCCTGGAGGCCAGGCCAAGCAGGAGTTTGGGTTTAATTCCAGCACATTGGGAAGCTGTTTAAAGAAGGTAAGAGAAAGGAAAATGCCCAGGGTGAGGTCTGTGAGTCTGGCTTGGGAGGAACAATGCCACTTACAGCATGAGAACGATGCTGAGATGAAGGCCACCTTTTGGGAGAAGCCAAGTGGGCAGGTAGAGTCTCGCCTGGATGCTGGACCTGAAGTCTGAGCTGTGGAGAAGGGAGTGGGCCACTGAGCCGTGGGAAGTATTCAGACCACAGACGAGTGTGCCTGCGGGAGAAGGTAGGAAGGAGGAGAGGCGGGCCCAGAATTGGATTCTCTGTGATTTGACTGCAGGCAGAGGGTGGGTAGAGGGAGGAGTCTGTACAGTGCAAAAGTTGATTAAAACATGTGGTGAATGTTTACATTTTTAAAAATTATAGTAAATGACCCATTGTCATGGATCCCCTCCAAGCCCTCGCCCTTGGTCCAAACACCTTTATCCCTTATTCCTGCCACTTTCTGGAGCAGTTCTGGTAGTCCTCTTTGCCGAGTGTCTTTACAAGCTATGTTTTTTAAAAAGCAGTAAATGCTGCTGCTAGACACCATCTAGTGGAAAGTTAGACCTCTAAAACCGTACAGGGCCTGGCACTGTGTGGCTTCTGGCTCTTCCCCAAAGTCAAATCGACCGTGAAAGGAAAACATCCTCGATTGATTCACATCGTGTCGGCCACGACGACTTCCAGACCTGCTTCAGAACATGGCAAGAACGAGGGGTTCAGTGTGTCCAAAGGGACCCGTTTGAGGGGCATTCGTGGCAGTGTGCCTTTTCCTGTCATAATTTTTTTTAAGATGTGAACATTCACTGTATTTTCTGAAGGAGAGTGAGGGGCCCGAGGACCAGGAAGAAAGCCGGGGATTCCGGTGTGTTCCGAATCCCAGTAGGAAGTGGGTCGCCAGCAGAACCTCATCATGGGGCTGGCTGCTGAGGGGTCCAAGGAGAGGGTGATCGGGCGAGCTCGCACCTAGAATTGGCCTCCCAGAGCCAGGGGTTGCAGAGAAGGGAGGAAAACAGTGGCTCCGAAACATCCTTGTCTCATATGCGGTCCTCGGTAGGTGGCAAAACTGAGTTGACTCCTCTTAAAACTGATCAAGAGCTGGAACTGAGTGTAGGCTCTGAATTCCACATCCCAGCACCTCTCCTCCCCTCCCACTTCCTCTCTGTGCTCACAACACTTTGCAGAATAGGCATACCCAAGAAATTAATGTTTACTTTCAAGATTTGCTTGGAAGTCCAAAATGAAACATAAGAGGGAAAGAAAACGCGTCAGTTTTATTTGGATTGCGCTCTTGCTGTGGGTATGGATTTGGTATGTACACATGGGGCTCTGGGGCTCTGGGCACATGCCAGGCTGATGTGTCTTTTATTCGGCAGGAGAAATAATCTGGGACTGCATGGAGCTCTGAGTAGGGAGCACTGATGTGCCTTGGTGGCTTTGGTGGTGTCCCTCCTTGCTTAAGTCGTCCTGCTGCACACTGCAAGGGCAGACCTGGAATGACGACTTTATTGTAGTTACTAGTTTTATTTTGCATACTTCTGTATTCTTCCAGCCAGCATTCTATTTCCTTAACTATTTCCTTAACTATTACATTAGCTCCTTGTTTGGGGGATATTCTTGCCATGAAATTAGCACTAGAAAGGGAAGTTATATGATAATCAGAAATCTGTTTTTTGCAGTGCTTACCACGCATACATTAGATATGACTTGAAATGTCACTGCATATTTGGCAATGTAGCTGTTTTAATGACTGGTACAGAGTCTGCTCGAAACATAGTGCTGTACCTAACAGCAAAGGGAAAAGTAACAGCAGTGAGTCCGTTCTTAGGGTACAAGCATGTCCGGTTTTTACCTCGACACGAGTGAAGGTCCACACGGATGCCTGTGTGGACCACACCCTGCTGGGAGACACAGCTGCTGTGTCAGTCTTTGGGAGGACTGTATCTGAAGAACATGGTCAGCGTTGCTTTTGAGGTCCCAGACGAACTCATTCTCATGGTTCAGGGCAGCAAGAGGAGCCCAGGGAGGGGATGAGGGTTAATCCGTGCCCCCCAGCTGTGGCCCCTGCCTGCCCAGTGTGGGACAGGGCCCCTGCCCCAAAAGAAGCCTCCAAGTTTAACAAAAGAAAAAGAATTAGGCAGAATCAGATGAGAAGAGCATTGGTTCCGGAGGGATCGGTGGGTTCAGGAGTAGAAAAACAAGAGGGAGATGAGGAATATCCACATCAGTCATTTCCTTGCCTGTCCCGGGATGTTAGTCATACATCCATGGCAAATTCACTTTTGTGAATTAAATTAAATCATTTAATGTCATTTAATCATTGTGACCTTTTGGAAAACATTGTTTTACGATGATTTGTGGCAAAAACCTAATAGCCGCCAGGTGTAATCATGATAGACTGTTCCCCAGCCCCATGTCCAGGCCTTGGTGGTACCCAGCAGGTCCCGTCTGGTCTCAGTGCCTGGGCCGGGCCATCTGGTGTCCCTGCTCCCAGGTGCCCAGTTCAGCCCCTCGTGGCCGGTAAGCCCGGGACGTTGCACTGGTGACGACGCTGTCTTTGTTTTCTGCTCGCAGAACAATCCACCATGACTACTGAATCCGGATCAGACTCGGAATCCAAGCCAGAGCAGGAGGCGGCGCCCCAGGAGGCGGCCGGGGCGCAGGGGCCCG